TTAGAGCCAGGTACGGGTCATTTGAGTACACAGTGATGCCTTTCGGGCTGACCAACGAACTAGCAACTTTTCAGATGACCATGAACGAGGCATTTAGGCCACTCTTAGATAAATGCGTGATAGTTTACCTCGAAAACATTCTCGTGTACAGTCGCTGTCAAACTTATATGCTATAGTCTGTGTAGGCTGTAGCTGGGTAGACAATATGGGGTACAACACTTGTAGGATTTCCTACTTGTACCCACCTGGTTGCTAGTATATTCATTCCCTTGTTCTATTTTCCCTAGTGGGAACGTTGTTCTTTAGGGCCCACCACGATTTTTTTTTTCTGCCCTGCCCGAAGCGCGCTGCCGTGCCTGCCTTGTCAAATCATTATGTTATGTAGGCTGTAATGGGGTAGCCTATATGGGGTACACATTTCTAGGGTTGCATATTTGTACCACATCCCATTCCTTAGTGCACATCCATTCTCGTTTCAGTTTTCTCATGGTATCGAGCAGGTTCCCTCGTGGGAACTGTGCCTAGGGCCCACCAAGTCGAAAGTTTTTTTTTCCTGCCCGGAGCGCGCTCAGCCCGAGTCGCGCTCCCCTCTCTGACTTCGTCGAGCCGCCCTAGCGGCCAAGTCGCGCCGCCTTAGCGGCCCCTGATTCGTCGCCCTAGCGACCCCGTCGCCCTACCTACGGCCCCGGCCCCGTCGCCCTACCTGCGCCTCGGCCCCGTCGCCCTACCTGCGCCCCGGCCCCGTCGCCCTACCTGCGCCCCGGCCCCGTCGCCCTACCTGCGCCCCGGCTCCGTCGCCCTATCTGCGACCCCGGCCCCGTCGCCCCACCTGCGACCTTGGCCCCGTCGCCATACCTGCGGCCCCGGCCCTAGCCCCGTCGCCCTACCTGCGCCCCGGCCCCGGCCCCGTCGCCCTACTTGCGACCCCGGCCCCGTCACCCCACCTCCGACCCCGGCCCCGTCGCCCTACCTACGCCCCGGCCCCGGCCCCGTCGCCCTACCTGCGTACCGGCCCCGTCGCCCTACCTTCGACCCGGCCCCGTCGCCCTACCTACGGCCCCGCCCGCCACCCTACCTGCGGCCCAGCCACCCTACCTGCGGCCCTGCCGCCCTACCTGCGGCCAAGCCGCCCTACCTGCGGCCCACCCGCCCTACCTGCGGCCCAGCCGCCCTACCTGCGGCCCCGCCGCCCTACCTGCGGCCCCGCCGCCCCACCTGCGGCCCCGCCGCCCTACCAACGGCCCCGCCGCCCTACCTGCGGCCACGGCGCACTACCTGCGGTCCCGGCCTCGTCCCCTACCGCCCGAGCCACCTACGCAGCCGAGCCGCCCGCGCCGCTAAGCAGCCCGAGCCACCCGTTCCGCCCGAGCCGCCCGAGCCGCCCGAGCCACCCGAGCCGCCCGAGCCGCCCGAGCAGCTGAGGAGCCGAGCCGCGGGTGCCGCAGATCCGCAGTTGCTGCCGAGCCGCCGGAGCTGCCCGAACCGCCCTGTCTGGTGAGAGTAGCGCCTCTGCCACTGCACTGCTCCCGCTCTACAGTTAGCGCTGCTAGTCTACTGCTGTCATGGCTACCCCCAGTGTTCTCACTTTTGACGCTGAGGGTCGGGCCATTGACATTGACGTCTGGGTAGATGACCTGCAGCTTTTCCTACAGTGCGATAGGGCAGACGGTCTCTCCCTCTTTGACCTCGCCTCTGGTGCTTCCCCTGCCCCTGCTGCCGATGCCGACGCCACTGTTCGGTCACAGTGGGCCACTCGCGATGCTGCTGCACGTCTTGCTGTGCGTCGCCACCGGCCTACCACTGAGCGCGCGCACTTTAGTCAGTACAAGAGTGCTCAGACCTTGTATGACGCTGTAGTTGCGCGCTACTCTTCCCCTGCCATTGCTGCACTGAGCCGCCTCATGCTACTGTACCTCTTCCCTAACCTTGCTGCCTTTCCCACAGTTGCTGACCTCATTACACACCTCCGCACTAGTGACACTCGCTCTCGCGCTGCGCTTCCTGCTGAGTTCTGCGCCAGGAACCCCCCCCCCCATGTACATCACTCTCTACTACATAGTCACCCGCCTCCCTGACTCCCTTCGTGTAGTCAGAGACCACTTCCTCTCAGTCTGTCCCACCAGTCTCACTGTTGACCTCCTCGAGAAGGCCCTCTTAGCAGCGGAGAAGAGCATAGTCGCTGTAGGAGCCTCTCGTGGTGACCCTCGCACCCCCATCTTTGAGGGGTGTTCCCCCTCCCCCCTTTTGCCCTCTGTCGCCTCTGCTGCTGCGACCGGCCTCGTTGGTCTTGAGTCGGTCGGTGCGGCGTCTACCCCCAGCGGGAGACGCCGCTCTGGCAAGGGCAAGGGGGGCAGGAGCGCTGGAGGAGCTAGCGGGGGTGGTGGAGGCGGCGGTGGAGGCGGCGGAGGGAGTGGGGGTGGCGGTGGGAGTGGTGGCGGGGGTGGAGGTGTCGGTGGCGGCAGTGGAGGCGGAGGCAGCGGAGGCAGTAGCAGTGGGAGCGGAGGCGGCGGTGGTGGCGGAGGTGGAGGAGGCGGTGGTGGAGTAGGTGGAGCTGGTCAGGGTGGCGCTACGCAGCGGGGCGGCTCCGGTGGTGATCAGCGCCAGCAGCAGCAGCAGCAGCAGCAGCAATTGCAGCAGCAGCAGCAGCGTTTTCGGGACATCTCCCCCCCTCAGCAGCTCCGTGAGTGGTACGCTGCACGTCAGCGTGGTGGGGGTACCGGTCAGTGCACCTACGTCCTACGCACCGGCGACCGTGCGGGTGAGCAGTGTGGGGGTGCACACCCCACCCAGCGCTGCTTTGGCCGCTTGACGGACGCTTGGCGTCACCAGTTCCCGGAGGCCACTAAGATCCCCCGCTGGGGTGAGCTGTCTAGGGCGGGTGTAGCTATCTTTGATCTTGACTTTGATGCTATTCTTGCTGCCATGTATGCTGTGACTATTAGTGATGAGGGTGACTGTTACCGGTGTTTCCCGCCCGACCCGGGCATTGAGAATGCTGCTGTAGGTACTGGTGAGGCTGCTGCTTTAGGTGCCAGTGCGGCTCCTGCTCTAGGTGCCAGTGCGTCTGCGTCCTCAGGTGCTTGTGAGTCTGCGCTCTCAGGTACCGCGTCGGCTTCGGCCTCCCTCACCTTCACACTTGACTCAGGGGCTTCTCGCTCCTTATTTCGAGACCGCACCACACTCACGCCGCTTGGTCGGCCGGTTGCAATCTCCCTGGCAGACCCCTCTGGGGGTCCTGTCCTTTCTCACTTCTCCACTGTTCTCCCGTGTCCGGCGGCCCCCTCTGGCACCTTGTCTGGTCTTTACCTCCCCTCGTTCTCTACGAACCTGGTAAGTGGTGCTGACCTACAGGATGCGGGGGTTCACTAGTTTACTCCTGCGAGTCAGCGGGTGACCCACTGCTCGGACGCTCGCACAGGCCGGCACCTGGCCACGTTTACACGTCGGCCGGGGTCGAGCCTGTACACCCTGACCACTGAGTCTCCTCCTGTCCCTGCGTCTGGTCAGGTAGCTGCGTCGGGTCAGGTGTTTGCTGCAGCGTCCAGGTCTGGTCCTGAGTCTGCCCCCTGCTCGTGTCGCCTCCTGTCTCACGAGACTCTCCTGTGGCACCACCGCCTTGGTCACCCCTCCTTGCCTCGTCTCCGAGGCATGGCCTCCCGTGTCCTTGTCTCTGGTCTTCCCCGGTCCCTCCCTCCCCTTCCTCCGAGGCCTGGCCCAACCTGCGTCCCCTGTGTCGAGGGGCGGCTGCGGGCTGCCCCTCACTCCTCTCAGTTTCCCCCCCGACAGAGGCCCCGCTGCAGACGCTTCACATAGACGTATGGGGCCCGGCCCGCGTCCGTGGACAGGGTCACGAGCGCTACTTCCTGTTGGTGGTTGACGACTACTCGCGTTACACCACTGTCTTCCCCTTGCACAGCAAGGGTGATGTCACTGAGGTGTTGATCGACTAGATCCGCGCAGCTCGTCTCTAGCTCAGGAGGAGCTTCGGCTCGGATTTTCCTGTTCTGCGTCTGCACTCTGACCGAGGCGGAGAGTTCTCCTCTGGCCTTCTGCGAGCCTACTATCGTGCGCGAGGCATCCGCAAGACCTTTACGCTTCCGGACTCTCCACAGCAAAATGGGATTGCTGAGCGCCGCATAATATTCTGACATGCCTGCCCTGTCGCGTGCCTCGCGCCTGCCACAACTGAGCCCTTGCGCCTGCCCTGCCGTCGCGGCCCTGGCGTCGAACGCCTGCAGCACCCGTCGCGGCCCTGCGTGCAGCCGTCGGCGCGACCCAACCCTGCCGCCTTTGCGGCCCTGCCCTCCTGCCGTCGCGGCCCTGCCCTGCACTCGCCGTCGTGCGCCTACCCTGCCGCCGTTGCGGCCCTGCCCAACAGCCGCTGTCGCGGCCCTGCCAGCAGCCGCCGTTGCGGCCTTGCCCTGCCGCCGTCGCGGCCCTGCCCTGTCGCCTTCGCTGCCCTGCTTGCAGCAGCCGTCGCGGCCCTACCTACAGCTGCCGTCGCGGCCCTTCCCTGCCCGCCCGTCGAGCGCTTGCAGCCGCCCGTCAGGCGCCTGCCTTACCTGCGCCTGTCGAGCGCCTGCCCTACCCGCCACTGGTGGCGCGTGCCCTACCCGCCCCTAGTGAGCGCCTCCCATACCCGCGCTGCCCGCGCACCTGCCCGACAAGCGCGCAACCGAGCCGCCCGGCTGAGTCGCGCCGCTTTGCTTAGCCGCGCAGCTCTCCCGAGCCGCGCCGCACTGAGCCGCGCTGCCCTGCCTGCGCTGATCCTACTACTACAGCGATTACTGCTGCTGCTTCTACTGCTTCTATTGCTTCTACTACTACTGCCGCTGCTATCGCCATGGCTACCCGTCATATTCTTACCTTTGATGCTGAGGGTCGTGCGGTCGATTTCGACGTGTGGGTCGATGATCTGCAGCTCTATCTTTAGTGCGACTCTAGGGACGGAGTCTCGCTGTTTGATCACACGTCCGTCGTTTCTATTGCACCTGGTGCCGATGGTGACAGTACAGTTCGCTTGCAGTGGACTACTTGTGACGCTGTTGCTCGCCTTACTGTTCGTAGTCACCTGCCGTCTGCTGAGCGCGCACACTTCGGCCAGTAAAAGACTGCGAAGTCTTTGTATGATGTTGTAGTCGCGCGCTACTCCTCCCCTGCCACTGCTGCCCTCAGCCGCCTCATGCTGCCGTACTTGTTCCCTCACCTAGCCGCCTTTCCCACTGTCGCTGACCTCATCACTCACCTCCGCACTAGTGACACCCGCTACCGCGCTGCGCTTCCCACCGAGTTTTGCGCAAAGAACCCCCTACCCCCCCATGTACATCACCCTCTTCTACCTTGCCACCCGTCTCCCTGACTCTCTTCGCTTAGTCAGGGACCACTTCCTCTCTCTTTGCCCCACCACGCTCACTGTCGACCTCCTTGAGAAGCACCTCCTAGCAGCCGAGACTAGCAAAGTCGCTGTAGGAGCTTTTCGCGGCGACCCTCGCGCCCCTTTCTTTGAGGGGTGATCCCCTGTTCCCCTTTTGCCCTCTGTTGCCTCTGCTTCTGCTGTCGACTTCGTTAGCACCGAGGAGGTCGGGGCTACGACTGATCCTAGTGGGAGGCGCTGCAGCGGCAAGGGCGGCGGCAAGTGCAAGGGGGGCAAGGGTGGTGGCGGGGGCGGCGGTGGTGGCGGTGGAGGAGGCGGAGGGGGTGGGGTTGGAGGTGGGGGTGGTGGCGGGAGTGGGGGCGTCGGTGGCGGTGGTGGAGGTGCTGGAGGCAGCGGCAGCGGTGGTGGAGGTGGCGGCGGGGGTGGTGGTGGCCGGGGTGGAGCCGCGCAGCGTGGAGGTTTTGGCGGTGGTCAACGACAGCAGCAGCCGCGCTCCCGTGAGACTCTATCACCCCAGCAGCTTCGTGAGTGGTATGCTGGGCGTGGGAGGTCTGGGGGTGCTGGTCCCTACACTTACGTTCTCCGCACAGGCGACCGCAGTGGGGAGACGTGCGAGCTACCACACGCAACGGAGCGCTGTTTCGGACGCCGGACTGACGCCTGGCGCACACAGTTTCCTGACGCCACTGAGCTTCTTCGCTGGGGTGATCTGCTTAAGTTTGGTGTTGATGTCTTTGCTCTTGACTATGATGCTATCCTTGCTGCCATGTATGCTGTGACTATTAGTGCTGAGGGTGACTGTTACCTGTGTGTTCCGCCCGACCTGGGCATTGGGGCTGTTGCTCTAGGTGCTAGTGAGTCTGCCGCTCCAGGTGCTAGTGAGTCAGCTACTCCAGGTACTGGTGAGTTTTCTCTATCAGGTACTACGCCCGCTGAGGCCTTGCACACCTTCACACTTGACTCAGGTGCTTCCCGCTCCTTCTTTTGCGACTGCAACACTCTCACGCCGCTCAGTCGGCTAGTTGTAGGCTCCCGCGCGGACCCCTCAAGGGGCCTAGTCCTTGCGCACTCTTCCACGGTTATACCGTGTCCGGCAGTCCCGTCTGGCTCACTTTCGGGTCTCCACCTCCCCTCGTTCTCTACGAACTTGGTGAGTGGCGCTGATCTCCAGGATGTGTTGGTTGACCAGTTCACTCCTGGAGGTCAGCGGGTGACCCACTGCACTTGCTCTCAGACTGGTAGACACATGGCCACGTTCACCCGTGCGCCTGGCTCGAGCCTGTACACACTAACGACTATGTCCCCCCAGGTAGCTACGTCTGCGTCCGCGTCTAATCAGCTAGCACCCCCCTGCTCGTGTCGAGCTCTGTCCCACCGGACCCTTCTTTGGCACCACCATCTTGGTCACCCCTCGGTGCAGCGCCTTTGGGCCATGCACCGCCGTCTCTAGTCTTTCGGCAGCGCGCTGCTCCTCACTCCTCCTCGTTCCCCCCGACGACTGCTCCCCTGCAGACCCTGCATATGGACATGTGGGGCCAAGCCCACGTCCGTGGACAGGACCGCGAGCAATACTTCCTGCTGGTTGTTGACGACTACTCGCGCGACACCACGATCTTCCCCTAGCACACCAAGGGTGAGGTCCCTGATGCTTTGATCCCTTGGATCCGCGCTGCCCGTCTCCAGCTCCGCGAGCGGTTCGGGACGGAGTTTCCCGTCCTGAGTCTGCACTCTGACAGAGGTGGAGAGTTTTCCTCTGACCTTCTGCAGAGCTTTTGTCTTGGGGAGGGCATTCGCCAGACGTTCACGCTTCCGGCCTCTCCGCAGAAAAATGGGGTCGTTGAGCGCCGCATTGGCTTGGTCACGGAGGTCGCTCGTACACCCATGGTCCAAGCGGCTACCCCCCATTTTTTGTGGCCGTTTGCGGTCCGCTACGCTGCGCATCAGCTCAACCTCTGGCCCCGTGTCTCCTTGCCGGATACCTCGCCCACACTGAGGTGGACGAGGAAGGTTGGCGATGCGTCGGTGTTCTAGGTCTGGGGTTCTCGTGCCTTTGTCCGCGATACCACCGCGGACAAGCTCTCCCTTTCGTGCTATTCCCTGCGTCTTCCTTAGCTTTGTCCCTGACGCACCTGGCTGGCAGTTTTACCAACCCACCTCGCGCCGAGTCTTGCCCTCTTAGGACGTCACGTTCCACGAGTCGGTTCCTTTTTACCATCTCTTCCCCTACCGCGCTGCCCCTCTCCCCCCCCCCGTCGCTCTTCCTTGCACCAGGTCCTCCCTCAATAGACCCCCTCCCCCCTCTAGGTCCCGCTCCCTCAGGTGTGTCTCAGGTAGACGGTGTCGAGCCTGTCGAGGTAGCAATTGACTTTCGTGCTGCTGGGGGTGCTGAGCCTGTGCGTGCGGAGCCTGGGGGTGCTGAGCCTGGGGGTGCTGCGCTTGGGGGTGCTGAGCTTGAGCGTGCGGAACGTGGGAGTGCTAACTTGAGCGTGTTGGGTCTGGGGGTGCTGAGCCTGGGGGTGTGCCGCCTGGGGGTGCTGAGCCTGAGCCTGTGGAGTCTGGGGGTGCTGAGCCTAGGGGTGTCGAGCCTGCAGTTGCTGAGACAGGGGGTGCTGAGTCTGCTGGAGGTTCCGCAGGGGCCTCGTTTCTACGGGAACCTCTCTCTCCACAGCACCTATGAGAGTGGTTTGCTCGCTGCTGGAGGCGTCAGAGCGGAGCTGCTGCGGCTAAGGAGCCTGTCGCTGGTGGCCCTGGAGAAGGAGGTGCTAGAGCTGCTGGTGCTGGAGGTATTGGAGCTGCTGGAGCTGGTGGTTCTGCTGGAGTTGGAGCCAAAGCTACTGGAGCTGTTCCTGCTGGAGGTGCTGCTGGTGCTGGAACTAGTGGTGCTGCAGGAGTTGGAGCTGGAGGCGCTGGAGCTGTTCCTGTTGGTGGTGCTGCTGGTGCTAGAGCTAGTGGTGCTATAGGAGTTGGAGATGGAGACCTTGGAGCTGGAGGTGCTGGAGGTCCCTGTGCTGGTACTGGTGGTGCTGCACGGCCGCGGACGTACTTCGTTCCACTCCTTCAGCAGGTTCTTGGTCTCCCGCCTTCTATTGGTCCTACTCCTCCCTTAGAGTGTCCACCGCCTGTCCAGTCGCAATTGCAGTTAAAGCCAGCCTCCCCACTGCCTGCTCCTTCTCCCTATACTGGTCCGACCGGAGGTCTTGCTGAGCGTCGTAAGCCTGCGTCTCGCCCTGCGTCACCTATTCCCGCTGTTCGCACTAGTCGTGTTCCGCGTCAGCGTCCCCCTCCTCTCCCCGGCACGCACCAGATGGCACTGCGTCCTTCCACAGCTCCACAGCGTGTCCCTCTGCCGTCTCCTCCTGTATCCTCCCTTGCTGACGGTCCGGACCCGGAGTCTGACTCCCTTCGCGCTGCTAGTCCTACTGTGACGCGTCTCCTGGCCACTGTTGTCACTGACCATTCCTTTGAACCACAGCTGCGTCTGCCTTAGTTGCTGAGCTTGTCGACTTTGCTGCTTGCTGTCGTCTAAACTACGCCGCTAGCCTTGTTGCTGAGTCTGAGTCTGTCTGTCCTCCGTCCGTCGGGGGTGAGTGTGCTCTTGGCACGGACGTCCTTGAGGACAGGCGGAAGGAGTTTCGGTGTTTGCCGCTGCTCTACCCCATCTCGTATCCATGCTACTTGCACCTGAGGGAGACCCGGATGCACCAGACATCCCAACCCCGCGCTCTTACGCAGAGGCGATCTGGCTGCGCCGCCCACCTGGCTTCACTGGGTCGTTCCCTCCTGGTACCCACTGGAGCCTCCGGCGGCCAGTCTACGGTCTCCGCCACGCGCCTCGCGAGTGGCACGACACACTGAGAATGACTCTTGCGGCTCATGGGTTTGCTCCTTCTACTGCTGACCCGTCGCTGTTTCTACGCACCGACACTTCGCTGCCGCCGTTCTACATCTTCATGAACGTCGACGACTTGGATTTTGCCACTATTGACACTGAGGCAATGACTGCAGATCACCCGGGACAGAGCACGCCGCACCATCACCCTGACTCTGTCACACATGGTGCAGCAGGTCCTTCAGCGCTTCGACTTCCAGTACTCCTCACCATAGTCCACTCCTCTGCCTACCGGTCACTCGCTCTCAGCTCTGCCTTCGGTTGAGTCCGTAGAGCCGAGTGGCCCGTATCCAGAGCTTGTGGGTTGCCTCATGTACCTGATGACCTGCACTTGCCCTGACCTCGCTTACCCTCTTAGCATCCTCGCACGCTACGTTGCGCCCGGGAGACACCGACCAGAGCACTGGAAGGCAGCTAAGAGGGTGATGCGCTACTTGTGCAGTACATCAGGCATGGGGCTCGTGCTTGGAGGACGGGGACCAGTTGTCCTCACTGGTCACGCAGACACTTTTTGGGTTGACGACTTGGCTACGCAGCGGTCGTCACAGGGTTACACCTTCAGCCTTGGCTCCGGCTCTGTTTCGTGGCGGTCTACTCGCTCGTCTTCTGTTCTCAGCTCCAGCTGTGAGGCTGAGATCTACGCAGGGGCCATGGCTGCACAAGAGCTACTCTGGCTCACCTACCTGCTGATCGACCTGGGAGAGGCCCCTTGTTCTCCTCCAATTCTGTACGTCGACAACATGGCAATGCTTGCCTTGTGTCGCGAGCAGAGACTGGAGCACAGAACGAAGGACATCGCTCTTTGCTACTTCCTTGCTCAATAGTTGCAGCAGCGTGGTCAGCTTTGTCTTGTTTACGTGCCTCTCAGGCCAACACTGCTGATATCTTCACCAAGGCAATTTAGCCTTGTGATCATCAGCGGTCTGTACTGGTCTAGGCATTGTGCCCACTTGGCCTCACGTGCTCACTTCCCTGACTTTGCTCGTACTGTGATCTCTATACATATACCTGCATGCTTACACTTGCAAGGTTGTGATCACTGTCTTGCTTGTTCTGCTCTATATAACTCTGCATGTGAACTGGCCTTGTGGCCATTTGCTTGTGCTCAGAATGCGTGGTGACGTCGTGATCCACCCAGAGCTTGCTTTGTTCTTCTTGACTTGTCTTGTGACCTCTTGTTCTCCCCCAATTTGCCTATGGGGGTGTGTGAAACTTTTATGCTATAGTCTGTGTAGGCTGTAGCGGGGTAGACAATATGGGGTACAACACTTTTAGGTTTTCCTACTTGTACCCACCAGCTTGCTTGTTCATTCATTCCCTTGTTCTATTTTCACAGTCGCGTTAAGCAGCAGCATTTAGCGGAACTGGATGCAGTATTAAAAAATTTAGACGAGCACCGCCTACTGACCAAGGGTTCCAAGTGCGAATTTTTCAGGACAGGCTAGAGTTTCTGGGGCACGTTATTTCGGAGGTTGGGGTTGAGATTGACCAGCTGGACACGGTCAAAGCATGGCACCCCCCGACAAATATCCCAGAGCTGCAAAGTTTTCTAGGGTTCGTTAATTACGTGCGTCGGTTCGTCCTCAACATGGCGAGGTTAACAACCCCACTAATGGATCTTCTGCGGAAGGGGGTCACTTTTACGTGGGGGTCGCTGTAGGAGCCTCTCGTGGTGACCCTCGCTCCCCCATCTTTGAGGGGTGTTCCCCCTCCCCCCTCTTGCCCTCTGTTGCTTCTACAGCTGCGGCCGAACTCGTTGGTTTCGAGCCGGTCGGCGCTGCGTCTGCCCCTAGCGGGAGAGGCCGCACCAGCAAGAGTAAGGGGGGCAAGGGCGCTGGAGGGGCTGGCGGGGGCGGTGGAGGTGGTGGTGGAGGCAGTGGAGGGGGTGGGGGTGGTGGTGGGAGTGGTGGCGGGGGTGGAGGTGTCGGTGGCAGATGTGAAGGCGGAGGAGGCAGCGGCGGTGGCCGAGAGAGCGGAGGCGGCGGAGGTGGCGTAGGCGGCGGAGGTGGCGGAGGCGGCGGCGGCAGCGGTGGAGCTGGTCGCGGTCCTGCGCAGAGGAGTGGGTCCGGTGGTGGTCCGCGCCAGCAGCAGCAGCGCAGTCGTAAGACCCTGTCCCCTTAGCAGCTTCGTGAGTGGTACGCTGCGCGTCAGCGCGGTGGAGGTACTGGTCCCTGCACCTACGTCCTCCGTACCGGCAACCGTGCTGGTGAGCAATGCGGGGGCCCGCACTCCACCCAGCGCTGCTTCGGCCGCCTGACAGACGCTTGGCGTCACCAGTTCCCCAAGGCCTCTAAGATCCCTCACTGGGGAGAGCTGTCTAGGGCGGGGGTTGCTATCTTTGATCTTGATTATGATGCTTTTCTTGCTGCCATGTATGCTGTGTCTGATAGTGATGAGGGTGACTGTTACCTGCGTGTACCGCCTGACCCGGGCATTGAGGCTGCTGCTCTAGGTGCTGGTGAGGCTGCTGCTCTAGGTGCTAGTGCGTCTGCTGCTCCAGGTGCTGGTGAGTCCGCTCTCTCAGGTACCACGTCGGCTCAGGCCTTACACACCTTCGCCCT